AATTGGTAACAACAAGACGGAGTGTGTTTGTGTGTGTGTGTGAGTGTAAGTGTAATATATTATATGCATATAATACAGTGTTAATGAATACATGTATTACTAATAAATGTGGCGTTTTGTCTTATTCCCCCTGAAAAGATCCTGTGCAGTACTTTAAGTACAACATCAGCCATAAGGGTGGAGGACAGTAGTCCCTCTTGTTTGTGGGTGTAGGAGGAGCTCAGGTGCTGGGGGTCCTGGTCCTTCCACCTAAGGGCCCGGGGGTCCCCAGCTCTGCTGGATGCAGGTGCTGGGGGTCACCCAGGGCAACCCTGGGCCCTGTCTGACTGGGCAGGAGGGGCACAGACTTCACACACTCCTGGGACTAACTCCCCCTGCCTCCCCTCCTCCTCCCCACGCAGTGAAAGCAATGGGGCTGCACAGGCTGGAGCTGGGATCCAGCATGCCCCATAATACATTGTGCAGGGTGGCTCCCAGAATCCCTTTGGTTACTCCCTGATACACCAATGGGGCGGAGTCGCTGGGCTCGTCAGCCCCAGGGGGCCATGGATCTTACCAGACGCTTCGTCCTCTCCTCGTTGGCCTTCAGCTTCTCCTGGTCCTTCCTCCGGCTGCCCTCTGCCGCCGCCACCCTGCAGGAGGGAGGGTGTCAGTGGAGCCTGCAGCTTGCTCTGCCTGGCTGCGAGAGCCCCGGCACTGGACACCTCCCTCTGCCCTGGCCCCAGGCACTTCACGGCATTGCTTCCCAGGCACCTCCCCGCCCCAGGACACCTCCCTGCCCCTGGACACTTCACTGCCCCACCCCTGGGCACCTCACTGCCCCGCCCCCAAGGCACCTCCTCACCCCTGGAAAATCTCACCCCACCTCACTCCGCACTGTTCCTGGGGTACCTCCCCATATCCCCTGGGAACCTGCCCCCATTCCATCATGGGGCACCTCCCTGCACCTCGCTGCACCAAATGGAATCAGATTATCCGAGGGCCCTGACAGCTGCTGAACCTACCCCGAACTGTGCAGGGGCGGGAGGGACCATCCTGGGGGCAGGTTGTGCCAGCCTTCCCACCCCTTCCCAGCTGCTGTCAGCATCAGGAGAGAGCTAGCCAGGCCCTTGTGGGAACTCGTGGGCCAGCTGCCATGGCCCTCGGCTCGGCCAGACCCACCTGGGCAGAAAGTTCCAGAGTCCCCTGAGAGCCGTCAGCAAGTGCCCAGCCCACCCTGGCTGGCATCTGAATCGGCCAGGACCCAAGCCAGGGAGGGGCCTGAGCTGCCCCTGGGGACCCACTAGAAGCGAGTGCAGTGCGTGGAGGATGCACTCTGCTCTCCTCGTGGCCTGCTCCCCAGCATATGCTTGGGCCATGGAGGGCCACCCAGGGCTCTCTGCTGAGCCAGCACCCAGCATCACCTAGAGTCTCAGCAGGGCCATGGTGCCCCAGCGCTGCCTTTCTCCCCGACGAGCTCCCTTACCTGGTGCTGAGGTTTGCCAGGTGGGTTTCCAGCTGCTCCAGCTGCCTCCGGAGTCTCTCCTCCTGCCCCTGGCTCTTGGCCTGCTCCTCCAGCAGTGTCTGGTTCTGGGTGACCTGCATTTCCAGCTGGCGCTCAAAGAGCCTCTGCTTCTCCCTGGACTCTGCCAGCTCCTTCCTCAGCTCCTCAATTTGCTTCCCATGCTAGGGCAGCCCAAGACAAGGTCAGCTAGTCACGGGGCATGCAGCACTCCACGGGCACAGAGAGGGCATGCAGCACTCCACGGGCACAGAGAGGGCACCGCTCTGCCACCTGGGCTCCTTACCCAACTGCAGAAAGGCTGAGAGCCCAGCACAGGCTGGCAGCAGGAGAGGGGCCTAGTGGTTAGAGCAGTGGGGGCTGGGAGTCAGGACTCCTGGTTGTGTGTGTGAGGAGCTCTAGGATCCTGGCCTGGAGGCCGTAGGGTTGGGGAAAGGATGGTGAGGCATCTGCTGCCCCCTACCAGGCTAATGTGGTGAGGTTCGGGGGATGGCACTGCCCTCCCCATTGCAAGCATGGGGGCTGGTTCTGTGGACCGGGGTGGGTAGCAGTGATGCACCAACACCCTAGCAGAGGCTGGGCATTGAGGAGGGGAGAGGGACCCTGACGTGGCCCTATCGGGCCTGCTCTGGAGCCTGTATTGCCTGGGGTCTCTGGGGATGCAGAGTGTTACCTTCTCCAGCGGCCGCATGGCGTACAGCTCAGTCTGCGCCTTGGCCGCTTCCTCAGCGTGGCGCTGCCAGGGCACCGTGGATTTCCGGGGTAGTGAGGCAGATTGGCGGAGATTGGATCGCCCCTAGAACACACAGCACAGAGCCCTTCAGGGCGCTGCGGGCAGCACGGGCTGGCAGGGGGCCAGGGCTCTGCCTGTCAGTGACATGGGGCCAGACGCCTCCCGGTTCCTCTCGGGATAGGCTGGAACAACTGGTGATTCCCACTGGAGCCCATCACCAGACCCTACCCAGTGGCAAGAGAATGGGGACAATGATGGTTCCAGGCCCAGCCCTGCCCTGCCCCTCTCTGCACAGAATGGGCTCCGGGGCTGGGGTGGGGCCCTGGCACTGATAGTGCCCCAGGAAGGGCAGCCCTTGGTCTCCGGAGAGCAGGCCGTGGCTGGCCCCTCGGGGGTGGGGCACACGGCTTCTGTGGGGGTGGCTCTGGCAGTGATCACTTTGCGTCTTGAGCAGCCTGTATGGGTCGGAGAAGGGGCGGGCAGCTGGGTGCCAGGACCTCCTTTCCAGGTGAACTCAGACCCCCTTATGGGGTGGGCTTGGCTGTCCCCTGGGGTGGGAGCTGCCCAGAGCCCCTTACCGGGTGGGCTCGGCCATCCCGTGGGCGGGAGGTAGAGGGGCGAGGGCTCCCATCGTGACTCTCTTCTCCCTGGGACTCAACCACGTGCTCCATGCTGCTCTGCTTCTGCAGCCTGCGTCCGGCCTTGCTCTGGGCTGGCACACTCTGGGTGCGCTGCACCTTCCTCCTCTCCCAGGCCTGGCGTGGGGAGGCGGGCAGCTGCTGGAGGTGCTGCTCGTCCTCCTTCCCCCGGCCCTTCTGGATGTTGGTCATGGAGTGGCTCTTGATCAGGGGGCTGTACTTGCTCAGCTCCCTCGGGGGCAGGAATCCTGGCTTCTCGCCAGGGCTGAAACACAACGGTTGGGGCTGAGCATCATTGGAGAGAGCTAGGAGCACTGTGCTGCCCGGGGCCCACAGTCCGGACCAAAACCCAGAACCATCCCATGAACCAGACCCTAGAATCGGAACTATCCCCTGAACCTCAAGCCAAAGCGAAACCATTCCCTGAACTGGAACCTAGAACCAGAATCATCCCTGAACCAGACCCTAGAATCGGAACTATCCCCTGAACCTCAATCCAAAGCGAAACCATTCCCTGAACTGGAACCTAGAACCAGAATCATCCCTGAACCAGACCCTAGAATCGGAACTATCCCCTGAACCTCAATCCAAAGCGAAACCATTCCCTGAACTGGAACCTAGAACCAGAATCATCCCTGAACCAGAACCGGAAACATCCCCCAAACCGAACTATCCCCTGAACCCCAAACCGAACCAGAACCGCAATCCTCCCCTGAACCAAAACCAGCAACCACACCCAAACTGAACTGGAGTCATCACCAGAACCAGAACCATTACCCAAATTGAACCAGAACCATCCCGTGAACCCAGCCTGAATCAGAACCAAACTGCCAGCTACAGTCACTCCAAATTCAAACCCAGCCTGTCACCAGCCCTTCAAGCAAACCCTTGGACTGGAGCCATCACCTGAATCTCCAACCCAACCCATTGTCTGAGGCCTTGGCTACACTTGCGAGTTGCAGCGCTGTAAAGCTGCCCCCAGCGCTGTAACTCACTCCCCGTCCACACTGGCAAGGCATTTGCAGCGCTGTATCTCCGTGGTTGCAGCGCGGCATGTACTCCACCTCTCTGAGAGGAATAGCGAGTGCAGCGCTGCGGCACCAGTGTGGCCGCCCAATGCGCTGTGAATGGCCTCCAGAATTATTCGGCAGTATCCCACAATGCCTGTTCTAGCCACTCTGGTCATCAGTTCAAACTCTACTGCCCTGGCCTCAGGTAACCAACCATGTGACCCACCCTTTACATTCCCCGGGAATAGTAAAAATCCCCTTCCTGTTTGCTCAGCCCAGAGTGGCGTGCAGTGCTATCAGCGAATCTTTCCAGGTGACCATGTCTCCACGCGCCAAGCGAGCCCCAGCATGGAGCAATGGCGAGGTGCTGGACCTCATCAGTGTTTGGGGGGAGGAAGCTGTCCAGTCCCAGCTGCGCTCCAGCCATAGGAATTACGATACCTTCGGGAAGGTATCAAAGGACATGATGGAAAGGGCCATGACCGGGACGCCCTGCAGTGCAGTATTAAAGTGAAGGAGCTGCGGAGTGCCTACCGCAAAGCTCGCGACGCAAACGGCCGCTCAGGTGCTCCCCCCCGCGACCTGCCAATTCTA